ACCGGTGACACGCCAACGTATACTAAGGGAGAGGTAAACTCAATTGTCGACCTTATATTTGTCAGCAGTTGCTTAGCCTGAAGAGGTTTTTCTTGGAAAGTATTGAACATCTGCACAGCCAGTGACCATAGTGCGATACCATGGGAAATATCCTTTGGCCAGAATATAACAAGAGTCAACAGGAGCGCTAGCGCGGTTGGATGGAAAATTAAATCTCTCAACCTCACTGCTTTAGAAATAGCCCTAGAGTGCGATCCGATCATCGTAGAAACTGCTGAAGAGAAGACCAAGGACCTAATGAGAAGAGTCACCCAGGCTTGCGACGCTAGTATGTCTCGGAAACGTGGCATGAATTCAAGACCTTCGGTGCACTGGTGGAACGATCACATTAGCATTCTACGCTCAGAGTGTCTTAAAAAAAGAAGAAAGTCGCAGCGTTGCTACAGACGACCTAACTCAGCAGAGCTGTTGGCAGAGTATAAAAAGGCCCGTCGAGAGCTAAACAGAGCCATTAAAGAAAGCAAAAGACGCTGCTGGAAGGAACTGGTCGCAAAAGTAGAGAAAGATCTATGGGGCAGACCGTACAAGGTGGTTATGACCCACCTGAAATGCCAGCCAATGCCATCACCTACGTGTCCGCAGCTCCTAGAGAAGATTGTTACTGCGCTGTTTCCCCAACAGCCGGTATTCACCTACAAGCTGGAGCAGCTCAACCCTGAAGACATCCTAACTATCACGTTGGATGAGTTGATAGAGGCAGGCAATCGAGTAGGGAATAATAAGGCACCGGGATTGGACGGAATCCCTAATATTGCCCTGAAATCAATCCTTAGGGCAGCACCGACATTATGTCTGGACGTCTACGATACATGCCTGAAGGAAGGGACTTTTCCCCAGAAGTGGAAACAGCAACGGCTAGTATTACTTCCGAAGGGAAGAAAGCCGCCGGAAGAACCATCATCCAATCGACCACTCTGCATGTTAGACACGGCCGGCAAGATATTCAAGCGCATAATTCATCAGAGAATAGAGGCTTTAGTCAATCCACTCCTGTCAGAGAACCAGTTTGGTTTTCGAAAAGGACGGTCAACTCTGGATGCGATCAAATTGGTTGTTGATACAGCCAAGGATGCAATCGCTGGAACGAGATGGAAGAGTGGACAGAAGAAATACTGCTTGGTGGCTGCTTTGGACATCCAGAATGCCTTCAACTCCGCTAACTGGGACTGTGTTATGCGGGCTCTAGAGGAAAAAAACGTACCAGGATACCTTCGCAGAATAGTAGCGAGCCACTTCACGAAT